CAAGGGTCCGCCCCCTTTGCTGCCCAGGGGTCCGCGCCCTTTGCTGCCCCAGGGTCCGCGCCCTTTGCTGCCCCAGGGTCCGCGCGCTGCAGCGAGTCCTCCTCATCCGCCTTGGGCTTCTCCAGCGTGTAATGGATCACCGACTTCAACGAACACTTCTTGCACTTCGCGAAGATCACAGTGCCGTTTGACTGCCACTTCAGCTCGTCAGCCGGATGAGGACACGCAGCCTGCCGCTGCATGAGCTCTGGGTCGAACTTCGCCTTCGGACCTGGGACCAGCCTCTCGCCGTCGAACTGCGAGTCGCACATGGCTCGGTGCATCTGCTGCTTCTCCAGGTCGCTCTGCGTGGCACCGGCACTCATGACGTAGCTCCGTCCAGAGGCAGTGACTACGCGCGGGGCTCCAGATGCGGCTGGAGATGCCGTCGCAGCGGTAGGCGCACCTGAGCTCGCGGCTCCTGGAGGCGCTGGAAGATGAGCGCGTCGTCGAACTCCCTCCATGTTCTTCCACACGCTTCCGACCCCCTGCTGCTCAGGAGATGTAGGCAGTGCACGCTCTGGCGGAGGTGCCTGCTCACGTCGCTTCTGCAGGCCGTCGTAGACCTCGCCTGGGTTCAATCGGGCATGCATCTCCGACTCCTGCTTCTCTATCAGCGCGCAGCGCGAGGCGGTCCATCACGCTGCAAGACCTCCAGTCGTTTCTTCTCCTCGCTCTTCCTCACGTCCTCGGAGGCTCCTGCCATGACCCAGTCCTCGTCCTCAGGGGCGGCGGCGGCCTCCCCAGTCGGAGCGGCGGACGTTAGTCCTGGCACAGCTCCGTCTGGGATGTTCCCGGGAGGTTTCCCTGGAACATTCGATCCCTTAGTCTTCGATGCCCCTTTCGCCGACGGCGCCGCTGCGGCATCCACCACGAATACAGGATGGGCCCTCGCAAGGCCACTGGTTGGAGAGAAGTCCGGCTTCTCGCAGCGGCGCGCGTAGAGGTTGAGGCGCACGATGCGGTCGTTCTTCGCGATGAAGTGGATGGTTGCCGGCGGCGCCAGGTAATCCCTAAAGATGCCCTGACGCGGATACCAGCTGCAGAAGATCTCATCCATCTCCTCCGGCGTGAACGGCAGCTCCTTGTCCTCACGCCGCTGATCGTTATCGTCCTCGCTGGCCTCATCCTCCTCGCTGGCCTCATCCTCCTTCTTCACCTCGGCCCCCTTCTTCACTTCCTTGCTGCTTCTCGCCTTCTTCCTCTCTTTCTTCTCTTCTTTGCTGCTCCTCGCCTTCTCCTTCTTCTCTTTCTTCTCTTCCTTCTCCTCCTTCTCACCGCGGCCTTCCGGTGCACTCCGCTTCTCTTCCTTCTCACCGCGGCCTTCCGGCGTACTACGCGACCTCGAACGCGATGAGGCCCCCGCCTCGGGCGGGGGAGGGGCGCGATGCTCACGGAGAACAGCTCCCCGATCGCGGTGGCGGTCGTCACGACGATCTCGATGATGATCTTCACGATGCTTGTTGTCACGATTCCCGCCTTCACCGCGCCGATCGTCGCGGTGCTTGGCATCACGATTTCCGCCCATCACGATCTTGAAAATAGTTGCCGTGATCTCATCGAGATCCACCTCAGCCGCCGCACAAGGCTTCGACGTGGTCAGCTGCAGCCGCATGAGCCGACCCTGGACGAAGTCGAGAGCCTCGAAGCGGCCTTGCTTGAAGAAGATGGGCTTCTTGTTCGTCACACGCTCCACGATGTGATGGACCGTGGCAAGGTCAGGAAACTCCAACTCCACACTGTGCCCCGTTGGGTGGGTGTTGGCCAGGATGCGATGGCAACGCACGTGTGCATCCTCGTCCTCCTGATCCTCCCCGCGCCTTGCAAGGGCGCGCGCACTTTCATCACTGCCCTGTCCGGGCCCGGGGCCATCGTCGGCGTCCTGGCGTAGACTTGGCGCAGGCATACTGTTGGGTCGAGGATTCATGACGATCCTCCCTGGAGCATCGGCTCGGACCTCTACCGAATGCCTCTGGGCAGGCACCGACTGGGGAGCGCGGCGCCATGGGGCGCGGCCACGACGCTCTTCGGCACTGCCTGCCATGCCAACCCAGTGGATGACCGGCCCATGCACCTGCCTTGGAACCGGCGGCTTCGCAGAGCTCCGCTGGTTGGGCGACGCTGGCTGGCCACTCTCAGGCCCGGTCTTGTTGCACGGCTCACGCTCGCCACTCTTCACCTTGGGGCACTCCGGGTCGCCACGCCAGTGGCCGGGCTGATCACAGTCAGCACACCGGCTGTTAGCCTTGCGCTGGTCCGTCGGCTTGCGACCAGCCTGGAAGGAGCCGCTGGCGTTGATCTTCTTGGGGTCCCGCTGCCGAGGGGCAACGAACCCACGCTTCTGACGCTGTACTGCCGTCTTCTGCTTGGCCCTCCAGCCGGCCAAGAACGCCTCCTGAAGATCCTCCGGTGCCTCGTACTCGTCGTCGTCAGGCCCATCGTTGTCCGACGCCAGCTCCTCGTCGACCTCAGCGCCGTCCTCGAAGAGGGTGCCCTCGGCCCCTCCGGGGTCTCCGTCGTCCTGGTCGTCTGCTTCCTCTTCGTCGTGCTGCGCCTCCTCCAGGTCGCCGTCGTGTTCATCGTAGTCTTCACCGTTCTCCACCTCGTGCACATGCTGGCCAGAGCGTCCTCGAAGCACGTACGGCCTACGAGCCAAGGGAGGGTGCGGGTAGCGACCGCCCGAACTCCCAGAGGAGCGCCCGTGCTCACGCTGCGCCGCCACAAACGGCGAGCGGCGAGGGAGCACCGAGCGCTTCTCGGTGTCGTGCACCTTCGAGTAGGCTGCCTTCAGCACGACCTCCATCCGCTTCGAGTCGTAGATGCCGCCGCAATTGAACAGCACCTGCGCTCGCTCTCTTTGCGACAGCCCAGCACCACGGAGCATCTTGATCGCCAGCGCGCGATCACTGATCGCTGAAGTGGGATCCTCGAGCTGCAACTCCATGCGCTTCTTGCGCAAGTACGTTGTCCAATCCATGATGGGCTGGCCTGCCCGACGGTGAGCACGCCCCCACTCCTGATGCACCTGATCCAGGCGCTCGTGGTCCATCTTCTCGAAGGCGTCATCGTAGAAAGCGAAGATGGTCTCGAGCGTGTCCTCACGCCGGAGGTCCGACGCGTCCAGTACCTCGATGAGCTCCTTGGCCCGACCTGTCACCTGACTGTAGATGATCAGGCCCAGCTCCACGTCGAAGAGCTGGTTGAGGTTGCGGATGACCTCCACAGCCTTGCGCCACTCTCGGTACTTCTTGGTGCTAGTACCGACGGCACCGTCGAAGTCTGGGAGCTTCACCTGCGACAGCAGTAGGCGTGCACGCCTGGGACCGCTGTCGCCACGATCCCGCTGCATGGCCAGGATCTCCCTCTGGGTCTCGGCCATCACGCGCAGGACCGCGTGCAGGTCCAGAGAACCTGCGCCGGCGGAGGACATCGCCTCCGCGTCCGAGCCGCCGTCCTGGCTGCCGGCCATGGCGGCGCGCGCGGGTGGTCGCAGCCACCCAAGCAGAGCACGCAGTGCGTCCGCTGGAGCTTACAAGCTCCGCTACCAATGTCAGCGCAGTTCTTTTAGCTCGGACCGCGCGGCAGTCCAACTGCGGGTGCAGTCCCAGGGCCCTAGGACTAGGGCCAAAACGGCGGCGGGCAGCGTGCACGCCACAAACATGAAAAGCATGTGCATCATGCGTACAAGGCGGCACGGGCGGCAGAGGGGCAGGCGAGTGCACCCTTCACATGTATATGGACGTAGAACTGTATATATAATTACGTACATACGCACACAACTATACAAATGTATGTATAAATCGGCTGCCTGCGCCTGTGCGTTAGCCACACCACATTATCAACACACGTATGAGTATCTACATATATGGTCCAGGGCTTGGGCCCCCCCCCCAATGCTGATGCCATTGGGCCCCCCCCCCCCGCGCGATGGTCCCCCCCGCACCCCCCTGTGGGCGTGGCGTGGTGCTGCGCTGCGGTGCCCCCCCCCCCCTGTGGATGTGGTGTGGTGCTGTGGTGGTTCAGAAGTGGGCGTGGCGTGGTGCTGCGCTGCGGTGCCCCCCTCCCCCCCCCTGTGGATGTGGTGTGGTGCTGTGGTGGTTCAGAGGTCGTCGTCGTCGTCCTCGTCGTCCTCGTCGTCCTCGTCGTCTCGTCGTCGTCGTCGTCCTCGCGTCGTCCGTCTTCGTCGTCCATCGTCGTCGTCGTTTTCGTCTCATCGCGTCGCAGTGGGTCGTGATTCGTCCGTCATCCTTGTCCGTCGTCGCCGCCGCCGCCGGCGTCGTCGCCGCCGCAGCCGTCGTCGTCGTCGTCGTGGTCGTCGTCGTCGTCGTCGCCGTCGTCGTAGTCGTCGCCGTCGTCGTCGTCGCCGTCGTCGTCGTCGTCGTCGTCGTCTACCATAACATCTGGGGGGGGGGCCGAGGAATCCTGGGACCACACCATCCGGGGGGGGGGGGCCCGTGAACCCTCGACCCTGTATACGTGTCCCACCGTGGCGTCATACGTACCCCCATCGATGAGTGCAGATGTGACAATCTTACGGGGCGCCCCCTACTATAACTACGGTAACCCTGTGTGCGCAAAGAGGTGTAACCCAATGTGATGTACAAACGTACACTGGTATAAGCCCTCTCGAGCGTGTTTCTTTTTGCTTGGGACATAATGGGCATTATAGCCCCCGGCCCCCCTCCCCCCCCCATACCGTAGCGCCCCTCCCCCCCCCAGTGCGCTCCAGGCACTGCCAACGTGCGCACGGTTGGGGGGAGGCGTTGCATTATACCCCCCCCTGGCCCCTCCCTCCCCCCTATGATGCCCACGATCGCCGAAAATAAAGAAACGCGCTACTCTCTCTCGCGCACACTAACTGACTGTATCTCTACATCTCTCGGTCTGTCGCTCTCCTTCCCCCCATTCCCCCACCGTCGCCCTCAGTCTGTTCCGTCGCAAAGGTGCGCGATGCGGCCTGCCTGAAGGTCACGGCGGGACAGGCTCAACAACGCCGTAAAGCTAACGTTTTCCATGAATACCACCTCCATACTCACGATAGACAACTGAAGATGAACAGAGCGAGAAGCGCCTCATCCACAAAGGCACGGAAGAAAGCGTGGAAAAGAAATGGCCGAAAAGAAAACAAAAAAAGGCGAGTGTGAGAGCAGGACGGGCACAACTGCGGGAGGCATATACAGCGAGAGCGAGCCGGATACCGAAAGTGAGAACACCGCACGAAGCACACCACGGAAAAGCTCAAGTGCAACTGGAGCAACATATTACATATTACTCAGGTGAGCGGAAAGATTCGTGCGTACGCGAATACGTTGTGCAGACTCACCTTGACTTGAAATTGGGACTGGCGGATCCCTGACTGCGTTGTTTCTCCGACAGCAGCAAACAGCTTGGCAATCGATCTCCTTACGCAACATCCCCGTCGTACCCTGGCCAACCTTCGGCCCATTAGGTTGGGGCACACCAGGCAGTTCAGAGGCACTGCCATGGCAAAAGAACAAGTTTGCTCACAATGCAAGCAAGCATCGTGGTCGACCCCATCTTGCACACTTTGCTGCTGCTCCCATGTTGGAACAATCACCACGAAACACATACGTTCAATGGCGAAACCCCGTGCACGGTGCCACGCGGGATACCGCCGAATGGCAGGGGCGTTCTCTTCTTTGAACCCCGCCGCATTCGACCCACCAGCGGGGGTGACTGCGCACGGTGCACGCTTCCCTGCGCAATGGCGTCGGGGCGGTTTGCCAGCGCATGCCGCATGGGATTCGACACGGCGGCCGTGCGATACGGAACTGCGTGTTTTGATACGCAAAAACTGCACCAATCTTCCGATGTCCCTGCGATGTTCGAAAGGGCAGTTCCGCTTGTCGCCTTGCTCTTCCTCCTCCTCCTCCTCCTCCTCCTCCGCCTCCTCCTCCTCCTCCTCATCCTCCTCTTCCTCTTCATCCTCCTCGTCCTCCAGCCATTTCGGCGCGAGTCTCTTTCCGAGCTCGCGCTTGTGTCCAACGACTTCGAAGTGGCACCGTGGACACGGGCCATTCTTTTCACGAACGCGGCTTCTCAGCCGCCTCCACTACGACCAGACGGGTGCATGTCGCGCAGGTCTCGGCGCGATGCGGCCACCCAGCGATGGTGTTGCAAGTTCTGCAAGGCGGAGTCGACGGGGAAGCCCTGGCATAATCGCCCTGAATGCTGTGTCTTGCAACCTGTGCGGCCTCGCCAAGGGCAAGTGCTTCCTGTAGCTCTTGGAGTCTCGCGGGCCCCCCATTACCTCTGCCAAGGTCAAG